GGTGTTTTGTCTCACATAATTATCAAAGTTAATTATCATCCTCAGGTGTGTGGGTGGTATTACCTGCTGCCTGGAGTCATAGCATGAACCAGTTCAAGAAGAGTGCCAAAAGGTGTCTGATGAATGTAGCTACAGAAAGGGAGGGGGATGATTATTTATTTTTTAGCTAACACAAGTGTAATTTTACCTTATTCCTAGTAATGGCCCTCGTATTGTAGATAGTCTCTCCAGGTAAAACTCCAGTCTTAATGACCCTCGTGTAGTAAATAGTCTTTTTAGTACAATAATATGTTATCTTCATTAATGAATAATAAGAAAATATTATAACCTGTATATTACAATAATAATAATAAGAAAAAGGGACCCCAAGGGAAAAACCCTTTTTCTGACTTTTTGTGTTACCCCAGGTTCCTACACATTGCTGCTATGTATGATAATCTATGTAACTGATTTATGTATCCCCTAAAAAAACTTACTTACTCCACAATTTACACACCACCACTTCCGCATTGCCAAGTTATCCCAAAATTTTTAATTTTAATCCAAATTTTTCCGATGTCAAACGCTTTAAAACCATCGGGGAGCTATTACTTTTGCCTCATTTGTTGGTCAATAGGCATTCCACCAAAAGCGTACGGGGATACCTTTCTTGATCAGTAAGGTACGGGTTATAGATACGGGAACTTTTCCCCCGAATAAAAAAAGGGGGACTTAAATTTTTGTATACGGGGGAGAACCTTTCTCGGGTACTCGTGTCCAAACACTTTTTGGTTAAAACACCATAAAAACAAAATTACTTTTAATTACAAATAGTTTTATTTTAGCTGAACACAAATTTTTTTCTAAAATTAGAACCCCTTTTAATTTATTCATGGATATTAAATTGTAAACTGAGAAAACCTTGTATAAAACAAGGTATCCCCCTTTATAACCCTTTTAGGGCAGTGTATATACGCTAAGGTGTACATCTCAGTACTATTTTACCAGGTTAAAAGGGCCCACACAAAAATCAAGCCCCCCCCCCTCTCCCCCTCCTCTTAAAAGGAAAAAATTGATATTTTTCTTTCGTCTGTCTAAACCAATTAAATTTATAATATTTAAAATTAACCTTTGCTTTTAACTTTCTTCAGCATTGTACCATTTACTTTTTCCCTCAGCTGTGGAAATAAAAGGTATAAAATACCCACAAGGGGAAAAATAAACACAAATGCAGTATAATGTGATCCTTTTTGACAACGTTTTTACCCACACAGTGGGCTTTTTAAGTCACACACGGATCACCCGGGGGGGAAAGGGACGGGAGTATTTATTGTTCAGAAGTTGAGGGCAGGGGGAAATGCGCATCTGATGACTACCGGTGGGGGGTTTTAGAGTCTTGGTAGCTTGGCGGGATATTGGGCAAGTTGTGAGTAACCTTCTGCATGTTTTATGTTCTTAGTGGGGTAGCGTGAAAAGTTTTCCCTTGCGATGGTTCAGCTAGTTATAGAAGCCCTTGTTTTTGGTTTTAAATTGTTGGATAGAGAGAACGATGATTCCGGATTCTTTTTGTATTGAGTTTGTCTTCTGTGGCATAATCTTTAGTTTCTGTATTAATTAAATGGTTGTGTGGTGAAACTTGTCAATAAAGGATCACTTATCTGCATTTGTGTTTTTATTTCCCTCAGCTGTACCATATATTGCACCATCCCCTTGATCATGTTGAAAATGGATAAAATAATACAAGATAAAGATTAAGACGCTATGCAACAGTTGGGTATCTTTATTGATGAAATTTATCACCTCACAGTAGACTTCTCGATCTGGGTGAAGCCTACCGGA